ATTACCCCCACAGAATCAGCATCATCTCATAAACAGGTCACAGCGAAACACAAAAGAGCCAGAAACACCACCCAGGAGCTCTGATATTCAACTCCCTACTCTCATCTCTGCACTGTACTCCATCTTTGAGAAAGGGACATAAGTAAACTAGGAATCATTCCAGGAGTCAGCATTCTCCACGATAACCTCCTCCCTTTGCTGCTAACAGATATCGCAGCACAAATCAGATCTTCTCCTTAGTTAATGCAGAGGCCATTTTAGAGATAATAGTGAATAACTCACTGCTGTCTCCATGACCCTGTTTATTCCAGAACAATTCCCCTAGGATAAAGATGACCCATGGACCCCTTCTGCATGGCCTACATCCTATCCAATCTCCCCCTTAGTATAGAGAAAAGGGACTGTGCTACATCCCTCCTGGATAAAAGTACTCATCGCCCACATGGCTGATCAGACTGAGACACTTGAAGGAGACTGAAGGGAATAGATCACAGTATAGTGAACTGCTGGGCTCAAAGACACAGCAACTGTCTGATTCATTACTTCCTCCTCACTTTGCTTTCAGTAATTGCAGTTTTTAGCTCGGCTTAGTCACTGGACACCCCCTCGATTTGGGCAGCTCACCAGAAATATCCCAAACGCGCACAGTCTGATCCAAGCTGGCTGACACTACCAGGTCTTCCGAAGGGTGGAACTGGGCACACATCACATAGTGGTTGTGTCCTGTCAGCACGCTGTGAGAAAAGGGACAGAAAATAACACTGAAACCAAGGAGGCAGCAAAACATCTGCTGATCCAACCTAGCATTTAAAAGCTGAATCTGGTAAGGAGCAAGGATGAGAGGGGATGGGTGGTGAAGAGAGTACAGAAGAGAGATGCACTTCTGCAGGGGACCAATGCATAGGTGACACCAGTTTTTAATAGCTTAAAATTGATAGCTATTATCAATTATCTACGTGAGCAAGCATTAAAATATTCATTTTTAAAAAAGGGAAATTCCCACATTAAAAGAACTGCATGTAGACATATTCTGACACAGTCTTATTTAAGGTTCAAGAATGCTCATATCTCTATTATTTCTACAGTGTCAGGTGTCTTTACCATACGCAGGTTCTGGATTGCCAGTTCCAAACCCGGATGGTTTGATCATCCGACGCACTCAGAATCCAGGGGTATTCCTAAACAGACAAGACATTCAATATTACCTACTTGAAATAACGCCATGCACATTCACAAACATGGTCTGTAGCTAAGCCAGAGGCAGCCATAAGACTCTGTACTTAGCTGGGTTAGGTATCCCACAGAATAATGATGAAAAAACAAAGGTGAAAAAAGCAATGGCTCAACTGCTACATGGCATACAGCACCACTTGCTTTCAACAAGTATCTTATGTACCTGTGGGGCACTGATACATCTTGGTTTCCACAAGTATCTTGCTTCAGATCAAATGGACACTATTGAGAATTTCATGGATTCATAGATTGTAAGGCCAGAAGGGACCTCGGAAGATAATCGGGTCCAGCCCCTGCACCAAGCAGGAAAGATAACTGGGGGGTCAGGTGACCCCAGCAAAGTGACTGTCTAGTTTCCTCTTGAAGATTTCTTAGGAAGACTGCAATCCAGAGTTTACACATGACAGTGGTATGGAATAAAACATCTTTGAAAGGCTGAAGATGAAAGTTGTATTCAAGCATCTGCCTTGCCGGGGGACTGATGTGCATTTCTGCATGTTGCCACGTTCCAGTGAACAGCTTTTCTTTATTGTTCTCAGTAAACATCAGCCATGTTATTTCCAATTGCACGAACAAATGGCCAGCAGGAAAAGACAGACCCAATCCCTGTCTGTGCTCCAAATGATGCCACCGGGAACAAAAAAAACCCTTTCAGTGAGTAGTACTAATTGTCCCCGTGAATTTTCATATATGAAGCACCTCAGAGGCAGGAATCAAGACGTTCTTTATGACTGAACAGCCCTCAGCATATTGTGTTAATCTGGGATCCTAGTTTTCTCCAATTTAAAAAAAACAAAACAATTTCTAGATTTAAAAAAGCAATCCAAAATCTCTCTCTTTCTGTGATTAAAAATGAAAACCACTAATATATAGATATCTATAGTGCGGTTTCATTTTAATCACAGAAAAAATGTGGATTTTGGGTTACTTTTTTAAACCACAAATGGGAGATTCATTTTTTTTTTTTTTTTTTAATCAGAGAAAACCAGGAACCCCTGTGCTTACTACCATAAAAGAAAAGCAGACAGAGAGTATTTCCTCTACAGAAAATGAGGCACGGTGCATAACAATGACTTATACTTCAAGTTACACTGCAGGAAAACTTACATGGTGGAAGAAGGTGGTACGAATGTAATCCAGGTGTCCCAGCAGGGTGAAAAGGCAGCGGCGTAGTTTATAATTCCAGACCTGGACAACAATAAAACAAAACACTGTGAAAGGCTTGCCAAACTCAGTCCCAATCCTTGCTGTCAACTTGTTCTGGACCTGCAAGAAGCCAGCTGCCCCACAGACTAGTCTCTTTCATTTTACATGACCCGAGTCAAGCGAGAAACAGACCTTATCACTAAGTTTAGCTCCCCGTGATGCCCTCCTGAGCTCAACTTCACCATTTCCATTGTCTTTTGATTTTTTATTATTAGGCTCTAAGCTTGCACGCATGTTTCACACATTTTACAGCTTTCCCATGCTGTACTACACACCCTGACTCTTTGGACAATGGGAAGTAGGAAGGAAAGTTTTACCTTGATTTTGTAGTCATCACCTCCAGAGACAAAGAGAGGTTGCTGTTTGTGGAAATCAATACCACGGACAGGTCCTGCAAGGGGAAATGGGGCATGTGAGACACAGGGATAGAGCTAATAGTTACATCAGCAGTCAGCACAAGCTATCACTTCACTTGAAGAAGAGTGCAGCTCTATCACTTCCTACTGCGTTTCAATGGATGAAGTAACGCCTCAAAGTGACAGAGCAGCTTCCTAAGACCTCCTCAAAGCAAGTTTTCTTCTCTCTACTGGGCTTTTCTAGCCACATCAATACAATACCTAAGAATCTATTACACGTCCAACAAATCTATCCTTACGACACCCCTGTAAAGCAAAGCAGCATTATCTTCATGTTACAGCTCAGGAACAGTGCAGAGAGCAAGTAATTTGACCAAAGCCAAAGACAGAATATGCAACACAGCTGGAATTAGAAACTAGACCTCTGGAAGCCCAAACCTGGGAATCAAGTAAAAGATCACGCTTCTTCCCCTCACGTGCTTGTCATTTTCTGCAAAGTGCCTGCTGTGCTTCAGTCTCTTCCTGAAGTGTTATCTCCTACATCGCCCCTACTCCAGCTCACACACTCACCATCGTGCTCATCAAATTTGTCAATGAGGGTGCACATCCGATAATCCCACAACTGGATCACTCCATTGTGCAAACTTGTTAGGATCCAGGGCCTCTTCGGGTGAAAGCTGAGCCCTAAAACAGACAGAGAAAGAAATACATAGGGGTCAAGTTTCCAGTTAAGTGCAATCTCTGGAGACAAAGATAGCAGTGGAAGCAGGGAAGAACCAGTCATCTGGACCTGCCAGGTCTCAAACACGGGATACAAGTGGCTGTTAAACTCCCAAAGAGGAAGCATGCAAACATACCTTGCTGGGAGGTTCATAGGTCATAGCTGCTGAGAGATTTATTGCATGATAGTTCTGATTACAAATGAGTTTCAGCAATAAGAACAAGAAAGCATCAGCTCTCTATGAAAATTTGGAAATACACCTGGCACAGCCCAAGTGAGATGCTTAAAAAGTACATCCTCAAGCACCACATAGAACATGATCATCATCAGTGTTAATTTTCAGGCTCTTCTCACCTTGAGATACCCCAAAGGGGCCTCAGAGTGGGTAGAAGTCGTGGAATCACAGACAATGAGGGCTGGGAGGGACCTCAAGAGGTCACATCAAATCCAAGCCCCTGCTGCAAGCAGGACCAGCCCCAACTCCATCATCCCAGCCAAAGCTCTGTCTACCCGGGTCATAAAAACCTCCAAGGATGGAGATGCCACCATCTCTCTTCCACCTTCCTAATAAGACAATTTTTCCTAATATCCAACCTAAACCTCCCTTGCTGCAAGTTAAGACCGTTGCTCCTTGTTCTGTCATTTTCAAAAAAAAAAAAAAGAAAAAGAAAATTCAGGTCCTTCCAAGGGGCCACAATCAGGCACCTAAAAGCTTCACTGAAAACATCAGCTAAGGGCTCCAAGATAAAGGCAGGCTGCTTTACTCCCATGTGCCGCCAATGGCTTTTTTTAAAGCCTCCCAACGCTGCGGGGACGGATGCGCAGACAGAAAGCAGCAACTGTCACCGGTGGTAAAAGATATCACTGACATCTACCGCCCGTGAGCTCGTAACACCGGCCTAGAAACAGCAACGAGCTAATAGTTAACAAACATTAAGAGACACTGGGGGGGGGGGAGTTGATTCAGGAGACTGGTGCTGCCAGCCAGGGCCCGGGGCTGGACTGATAACACCCCTGATGCCAGCTAAGAGGGACAGACGCTGGGGCAGATGGAGAGGGCAAAAGCAGAGGCTGGGGCAGGAGGCAGCAGCCGGGGGGGGGGGGGGAGCGGGGG